CTGCACAAGCGCAAGGACCTGAGTTCAATCCCTAGTACCCAAAAAAAAAAAAAAGAGCAAGAACAGAACAAGCTAAGAGCCACAGGGAAGCTAGAAACTGTATTCACCTTCTGATAAGAAGTGACAGTCAAGAGAAGGGAGGAGAGAAAAAAACAATCCAAAACAGGGTCCCTGACCTCTTGCAGGACTAAACTCTGCAAGGTTCTACTGCAGGATCCAGCTGTCCTTCCTCCAAAGTGAGCCCGGGTTTCTATGGGAGGTGCTGATCCCACCAACTTACCAATCACAGTGGTCCAGTGTGCCTTTATTGCAGAGGTTTTCTTCACTTTCCCAGTGGGCTTCAATTTTCATTGAAGAGCCCCAGAGAACCCCTCTCTCTGTTGTTCATTTCTGCTCTATCTTCTGGAGCTCATAACCATGGCCTTTATGGCCCCTTGGTGCTTCTGCAGGATAGATTCAGATACTGTGTGGCCCGCACTCGGCAGCGAGCTCTGGGGGCAAGCTGCAGCGGCAGGGACGGAGGTTCCAGGTTTGTGGCGCTGATGCTGGTGGGACGGAGGAGACTTAGTAACAGTAGTCAAGGCTGTTAAAATTATCTTGGAAACTGCTTCCTCAGGTTCTAAAGGGTGAAGAAGAATGGCCTCAGGCTCAGTGGTACTGAATGCCTTAAAGGCTACGTATCTGGTTTTCTTGTGGCTTACGTTTACATTTTGCACACAAGCAAGGATTAATTCTCAGTGCAAAGAAAGTCTGAACATAAGGCAATTTTGACCATTTTCTCTTTCTTGCAGTATGAGTCTAGTTGTGAAATAGCATCACAATCAATACTTCCCTCTGTATTCTACTTTGGCTCTAGGGGGTAGGCACACCATGCATATTTGACACTGAGTTCCCCAGAAGAAATCCAAGAGAAAGAATGGTATCCCTATACTTCCTACTTGATTTCTATGCCCTTGAGACGTACTCCAAGTTGATTCCACTCCAGGGGGGGTGGCTGCCATCTGGAGAGAGACACAAAATAAAATCGGACTGAACTGTGCACCCTTTTACCAGTGCTCTCTCTTATCTACCCCAGAAACTCCTGTTCCTATCCCCACAGGCACTCCTAAAGCACAATTACAATTTATTTTAGCTGTAACTATCATGTTTAGAGAAGGAAACATTGCTAGCAAAACCAATAACCAAGAGATCTAAAGCACTATTTTGTAGCTTTTTGAAAGAGACTGAGGAAAATAGGTCAATGGTCAAATTAGAGCACTTTTTTGCCTGCAAAAGAGATCACCTCTTGAGACAGGTAGAGTCAAGTGCCTGGCTCCAGAGATTCTGCCCTGGGCCCTAGGGCAGAGAAGCTCTGAGATGTTCCTGTTGTCTTTCTAGTCACCTAGGCAACCTTCATTACAGCAAGACAAGGCTACACATCATTTAACATCCATTTTTAAGGGCCAGGAATTTAGCTTAGTGGTTTCGCCACCTGCTGCTCAAGGGCAAGGACCTGAGTTCGATCCCCAGTAAAAAAAAAAAAAAAAAACAACTATCTTTAAATCACTAAGTATCTGAAATTCACAGGTTAAACTTATGTTCATTGCCTAGCAACCACAAGTCACATATTCGCAAAGGCACATCTCTCAGTTCTCTTCGCACACATGAAAAGAGGAAGACTAAAAGCTCCTTCTTATTCTAGCTGGCATATAAAACACAAGCACAAGTCACCAGTTGATTGCTATTTTCCTTCAAGTAAGATAAAACAGTTGTTGCAAGTTGCCTTAGCCTGACTTCCTGGAAGGAGAGGCAGTCCAACTACAAGGGATTCTAAAGTTAATTCCCAACAAGTGTGAGAAACATTTAAGGGGAGTTTCTAACTCACTAGCAGAGAAAGTCCAAATAAAAGTTTAAGCACCTAAAAAATCACCACACAGCATTTTACAAGCCTACAATCAAAGTTTTAAAGTCCACAACTTATTAGTAAAAGTATTTTCCTCCCCTACAAACATAAATGATGAAAATTAGACCCAGAAGGGGAGAGAGAAAAGGTTGGGGCCGTTTGTAACCTAGCAAAGATTTGTTTTCTGTTTCTGTCTAGGGGTCTGTCTTACTAGCAGAGAGGGAACAGTCCAAACCTGTAGCTCAATTCTTAATGGAGGCTTAAGAGAGGGATCTGATGGCATCGTTTCAGATCACTCTGAGACAGAGGACACCTGATGATCACAGAAAGTTATCTTTCACCTCACTGAGGAGTTCAGGTAGTCAACAGATATGTTGGAGATTTTCTGCTGATTACCCAGTCAGGCTGTCAGGACCTAACTTTTACTGAGGAACTTTTGGGTATTTGCCAGAGAGTAGCCCTGGCCATGACCCCTCAGTTGTCACCTCAGTTTTCACTAGTTCATGCAATCAGAGATCTGTCTCCAGATAGGAATCCAGTTGCCTATCTGGTCAACATTCTGTCTGCCATTGGCTTCAACGAAAATGAGGATTCACCAGTGGGCAACTGGAGAAACCTATCCTCTACTTTGAGAGTGGCAGCTTCCCTAAGGGCAGTTACTAGCTGTCAGAATACCACTATTTATTTAGCATCTATAAGGGACAGATAAAAGCTTGAACTGTCTTTACCTAAGATGATTTCATAAGAGACTCATTTTATAGCATTTTTTAAATTAAATTTTTAAATTTTAAAGTCCACTAGGTGGTGCGCCAACACTACCTTTTTCTCTAGTGCTGCTGTCTAATAAAACAAGGAATGTAACTTTAGCAACTAAGTCCAAATGCAACATATACAAAATAGGAAAAAAATGTAATTTTAACAAAGGACAGTCCATCATAAGAGAAACAAGTGATTTGCAAAAATTTCATACAACCTAAAATTTAAGACAATTTTGAAACAAAAACCAGAATCTATGAAACAAAGACCAGAATTTATGAAACAAAAAAGAATCTAAAAAGACTAAAACCAGAATTTATGAAACAAAAAGAATCTATGAAGCAAAAATCGAGAAAGCTAGAACCTATGGAACAAAAGCAAACTCTTACCTCCATCCAATGATGTCGGCAGAAGACCTCCAAATGATATAAGGCACCAAGTAATACAAGTAAGCAAAATAATCCAAACAAGAGAAATATTATAACTCCCAACCCTCTAGATATCCAAAACATGAGTTCATGTTCTCTAAAATCAAAGAATGAATTCTAGGAACAACGGAGGTTAAGAGTGGGAAAAATTTATTGTGAGAAAGATAGATTCTAAGAGAGACAGAAGAGAGAACCAAAAGTGGGTTGCCCACCCACCCTGCTTTTCAAAGGTGTTTTATTGAACAAAGACACAAGGTGGGACAGAACTACAGTCAACTAGTAAGATTACAATATTGTTGCTTAGATAATATTGATCCAATGGGAATCACAAGGTGGGACAAAACTATGATCAACTAATAAGATTACAAGCATAGTCAGTCACTTAGGTAATACTGATTAAATGAGGGTCAAATGGGGAAGCTAGTCACATAGCAAGTGTACATGGAACAAACAAGGATTTCCCTGGAAGGAGTGGGCTATGGGGGTTTCGGTCCCTGATCAAGGTGATCAATACCTACTTAGAATATCAATCACTGTTATTATCTCTTGGGGAAGTATACAAGTGTAGTACTATTTCTTTTTTACAATGCTGAACTTTAGTGAATATATCTCGGTTGTCTTTCTAATTGACTCCTCAAGGGTTGGCCCTAACTGCCTATAAGATATCTAATTGACTTAGCTACAAAAAATGTACATAATATATATTTCTTGTGGTATGCCATTCCAGTAATGGTTCCCAATGTATCTCCCTGTATCCAAACTCATAAAGTACCCTTGGACAATGACTTGGACTCTGTCATTTGACTTGTCTTGACCAAAAGAACAATGTATACAATGCTGGCACAGATTTGAGAAGCACTTGCCCACTAGTGCTAGCTTTCTTGTATAGTCATGTTGTGAAGAAGCTTGGAGCTGTCCTATTAGAGACACAGGGCCTAGCAAAGAGCTAGCATAAATTGCTGGCCAGGTGAGTGAAGCTATCTTAAAACAACCAGCCTCAGCCATGGCACCAGATGACTAAAGCCTTGTCTGTGATCCAAGCAATGCTAGTAAGAATGCCCAGCTGAAGCCACCATCAAATGTGAATCCACAGAACTTCAAACAAATAACATGGCTGAGTACTTTTGCCTGTTATGTGTTGGCTGGTTTGTTAACACTTGTTGCTCTTTTTTTTTTTTAACAAAACTATGTAGAAAAGAAAGTCTTAAAATGCAATTAAATGAACTGCATGGCCACATATACAAGTACTGAAAATCACAAAATTTTGTGGACTTCAGTTAGGTTGCTAGTAGAGGCCACATAAATCACTAAAAAGCAAATGTATGGACATCAATAAATTGTGCCTTAAGTTTTTCTGCATCATAAAATGTCTAGTTTGGGGTTTTTTTTTTTCTTCTTTCAACATAAGATCTTGCTATGTAGTTCAAGCTGGCCTTGAACTCACTAAGTTGCCCAGTCTGGCCTCAAACTAGTGGTGATCCTCCTGTGTTAGCCTCCCAAGTGCCGAGATTATAAACATGTGCCACCATAACTAACAGGTTTACTTTAAAAAACATACAGTCAGTTAAAAACTCTTGAAAAATTCAGTCTGTTACAGGCTGAGTATCCATTATCTAAAATGTTTGCAGCCAAAAGTATTTCAGAATATTTTGGATTTCAAATTCAAAATATATGCATAGACTTTACTGGATGAACGTCCTTTTTTTTCCTTCAGGATCTCCCTATATAGTTCAGGCTGGCCTTGAACTCACTATGTATCCCAGGCTGGCCTCAAACTCACAGCGATCCTCCCACCTCAGCCTTGGATGAACATCCTTAATCTGGACAAAGGCAAGAAAACTTCCATGCAATCTAATTTTCCCATTTTAAGTAATGAAAATATGCTCATTATTTTGTTGGAGAATTTGATTTTCAACAAGAGATTAAAAACCATTAAGTGGAAAACATGTGTGTTAGTAACACTTTGAGGTCACATAATCAACAGAAAGTAATAGGGATAAAAAAGATAAATGTTTAAGGTAAGGTATTTCTAAGCAATGTTTGTGCCACATTGACCTCCGTTTTGCAAAAACAATCTCAAAAGTGAAATAAAAACCTACTGTTTTGACTAAATTGTGGCAAAATGAATGATACTAGCTAAAAAATTATATTAAATCATGTTACCCTGGGCAAGACACATCACCTCAAATCCAATTTTTTTTTTAATCTTTCATATGTGGCAGAAGGATCCTGGCAAACCCTTCCTGAAGTACCAGGAAGAACAGTTAGGCTAAAGAGGGCATCAATACACCTCAAGATCGCAAATTTGGTGACAGATTACCTTTGAGAGCTCAGATTCTGGGAACAACGAAGGTGGGCAGAGACTGTAGGAATCAGAATAAGGTTAGAGAGCACTGCAGATCCTCTCAGGTATGTCGGGGTAAGCCTCCCAACCAGCCCCTACAATCATGCCCCCTCCACTCAGTAACCCGGCTAGGTCCTGATTTATCCTTCAGTCCAACTCATTGCTCCCACTTGACAGTTGGTTCAACCCTTCCAACAGCACTTAAGTGGTTGACAGCTTCAGATGAAGTACTGTCACCCAAATCTTGTGCACTCTGGGCAGCAGGACCAATAACTGCTTGGGCCGTGCAAAGCTAGACTCTCTCCCTTCCTGGGACTGTCTCTGCTCTAAAGTGCTAGTGAGGGCGTTCAAACTGGATGGGTACTCTTCTGGGAGAATTCCTACTCATAGGATGCCCTCCTTCAAGCTTTGCCACGCCAACATAATTCCAAACAATACAAGAATATCATCCAGTACCCCAATTTCCCGTGTAGAACTGTCCCTGGAAACTAGCTCGTATATAAAATTCCGTAAACTCAAACC